GCCCCCAATGTCTTCGCGCCATGCCCGTTTTGGGGACGTGGGTTGTCCGGGACATTCGCCGGCCGAACGGCCGCGGCTGGTGGACTGTGAGACTCTACGAGGCAGCGGAAAGAAGGAAGGGCCCCAAGGTTGGTGCTGGCTGCACCACTTGCCAGGCCTTCTACGCGGGTTGTGTCCCTGTGCTGCTCAGTGATGATGTGGAGCTTCCATTTCAGGAGAGCGAACAGCCAAGCATTGTGCACAAGAGTCAAGCGAGGACTTTCTGGCCTGGGACACCTTCTCATTGCAGCTTGAACGTAACAAGTTTCGTGCCAGAGACTGCAAGCGTCCATGTTCCATCTGAGGAAATGGCCAATGCATGAGGCAGTCTCAATGATGACTGTCTCAGCTTGCGTGAGCGGTTTGCAAGGTGGGTGACAAGCTGTATCAGCACCTGGAGATGCTGCGCCATGATTGGCCTAGGCAAAATGCTGGGTGAAGCGTGTTTGACGTTCCTGTCCCGGCCGGGTATTTGCGGGTAGGATGACGGCTCTTCATGAAGGCACTGACTTTCTGCAAAGCATGCCGCAAGCCTGCATGGCTTGAGGTGTGCGGAAAAATGCTTGTTGGCGCCAGCCTCGGATGCTGTTCGGAGAAATGCAAGTAAAGTGCCCCGAAGGTTTGACTACATGGAACCTTTGGCAGAGTGTTCAGCTTATCAAGGTTGGCAACTGAGTGCGATGTATGTTATGCAGTATGCTTGAGGCGTTTTGTGTCTCGAGGCATGCTGAAAGATTTAGCAAAACAGGGCGCTGAGGTCGGGGCAGAAGGCTTCCAACAAGTCTCGCGATGTGATCAGTGATGTGATCAGGAGAGCCGGCCTCTACGACGATATTGGTTTTGAAGTGACGCGAACGGGTGGACTCCGAGAGGCACTCAGAGGCTCGCGATTGCATCGGGCAAATGAAGAGAAATGAAGAGAACTCAGATGAAACTATGAAATGACAATCCAATGAGAAAGGACGCACGAAAGAACCGAGATGGTTTGGACGCACCGGCGCGATTCCGCTACCTTTGGGTATAGACACCACTTTCCGAAGACTTCTGGCATTTTCAAGTGGCATCGAATTTCGTAGAACACGTTGTATTCCACACACACACACGGTACGGATTTTCATTGTTTCCCGTCGCGAATATTTTGTGTCAAGCTCCAGCGATATCCTTCGAATCTGTCTCACGTGGTTTCGAGCACTCGCAAACTTTGGAATATGGGAAAAGCAACATGCCGCGCCCGGGATGTCCGGGTGGCACGTGCGCAGTGCTTTTGCCGAATTTGCTCAGGCTGCGGTTTATCAACAATGTATTTTTATTGTGGGCTTGGGGCATTCAAATTCAGAGATAAATTCAGAGATTCACTGAGTCAAGCGAACAAGCGATTGCGATGCAAGTTGCATTCAATCGACAGATCGAAGGCGCTTCTTAAGTCGCGTTCAGCTCCAAGGCGCCGTGGCGCACGGCGCCTGTCACTCGACTCGACTCATGGAGCGACTGAGGGGATGCGCCGTGCCGAGCGTGCCGCGCGTGCCGCGCGTGCCGCGCGTGCCGCGCGTGAGGGCAGCTGGCGTCGGGCCTTGGGCCTGGTGGCTGGGGCGCGCCAAGAGGATCTTCGGCTCAGCGTGGCTGCCTGAGTGAATTGAGTGACTTGAGTGAGACAAAGAAGCAAAGAAGCAAAAGAAAGGCTGGCACAAGCAATTAAGGCTGTCAGCTTCAAAGCCACATGCGTGCGAAGCAGCTGGCGGCATGCCTTGCAGTCGCTAGACCTGGAGCATTTTGACATAGCCGCTCGGCATACAGCGCGATGCCTTTGCGTAGCAAGTTTCAGTGCTGAACAGCCCGGTGAACGTGTGAATCATATGAATCATAATGAATCATAACGAAGCTCAGGTATTTGCAAACATTGGGATCTCTGCAGTTGGCAAATCCAGATGGCCATTTGCTTTGGCTTTGATCACGGGCATTCGAGATCGGGAGCTGGTTCCTGATGTGGTCAGCTTCAACAGTGCAGCATCTGGCTGCCAAGCAAAGTGGGAGCTGTCTTGCTTTCTGCAGTCGATGTCGCCACGCAAGGACACGGTTGGTCACAATGCTGTGAACATAGCACTCGCCAGGGCATGGCAGTGGCAGAGCAGCCTGTGCATGGTTCACTTGATGCCAGTCCTGCGACTGCAGCCGAACATTCGGTGCTTGACAGGGGCGCTCAGCGCCTGTGAGCAGGCAAGCCTTTGGAAACGGGGCCTATCTTTGGAAGTTTGGAGCCTGAGAATGGAGCCCGACACGATGTTCTGGAGCACTCTGCTGAGTTCCTGCGGCAAGGCTTCGCAGTGGCAGTTGGCCCTTGCCATGTTGGCGAAAGCGTCGGCCCCCGATGCGGTGCTGTACGCCACTGCCATCAGCGCCGTCAACGCCGCCCGGAGCGACGGGAACGCCAACGGGACCGCCCGGGATGCCGAGCTGAGCTCCGAGCTGAGCTCGGAGGGGTCGAGCTCGTCGAGCTCGTGGGAGGCGGCAGTGGCAGTGCTGGAGGACATGAAGCGAACCGCGGTGCAGGTCACGGCGTCGGTGTTTCAGCTGGTGATCCACAGTTGTCGCCCTCGGTGGCAGCTGCCAATGCTCTTCCTGCAGGACATGCAAACGCGGGTGGCGCTAGATCAGGCGAGCCTCAATGCAGCAATTAGTGGCGCAGATGCAGAAAACTGGGACAAGGACTGGGCACAGGTCTCACAACAGCCATGGTGGATGGCGATGTTCATGCCAAAACATCCTTGAGCAATGTAACTTGCCGTTTTTACATGTTCTTGCAGGACAAGACTCAAGTCACCATCGGATGCAGCTTATGTTGTTTTAGTTCAGCCAGGATTGGTTTTGCAAGTCAAAGCGTCATTGATGATCAAAAGCAAACCGTTTCACGCCAACAGTGGGAACTGGGGGCTGGCCGGGCTGGCTCTAGATTTGTAAGCAGCTCTCATCTCGGGCGCATTGAGACGGAAGTGCGGCTCGCTCTTCCGCGTGAGGCCCTGATGTTGGCCGCGCGTTCCCAGAGCCGACTTGACCTCATTGGATCCAATTCGGCGATCTCTTCCTGCAGGGAGCGGTGGGAAGTGGCAGGCGAGTTGCTGTTCCAGCAGTCCATCCACAACATTGAGGCAGATACTTGGCAAATCGAGTGGCTTCAGTTTTGGAGTGGCATTTCAAAATTTCCTAGCCTTCTAAGGGTTGATTCCCCATTCTTTCGTCACACGCGCACTCAGTGCAACGATCGGTCTTTCCAGCCGGTTTCGGCTCAGTTTTTGATTTTTCCTGCAGCGAGCACTGACGCATGCAGAAAGTTTTCCCGCGGGCTAGGGGTAGGGCCAATAGACTAGACAACCCCTTCCCCTGACCTGCCAAAGTCATGCCGCTGCAGGCCATCGATCTTACTGGCAGCGTTCTGTTTTCCGGGGCATTGTTCTTTCCCTACAACCATCGTTCTTTCCCCAGGGCCATCGTTCTTTTCCCAAGCATCGTTCTTTCCCCAACCACCGTTCTTTCCCAACAACCATCATTATTTCCCTTCTTTCCCCACCCCATCATTCTGTCCCCCTGCATCGTTCTTTCGATCAAAGATCAGTGTGTCCCTGTTTTTATGTTTTTTCGCTTTTGCATCTGTTTTGGGTGAAAATTGGAAAACCAGAAAGAATGGGGAAGTATTGTATGAGGTCATATTTTCGGTTAAAACCCATTCTTTCCAAGCATCCAATTTTCTAGGATTTCCGGTCTTTCCTCCCGAAAGTGATGACAACTGCTGCGTGGGCTGCTGCGTGGGCCCCCATTGAAAGAATGAGGAAGTGAATTGGAAGCTTGTGGAGAATTGGATCGCGGGCACCACTTTGGTGGGTTGGCTGCTGAGGGGCCTGCGGTGCCATCAGGAGGGTGCTTCAATGCTTGCCGTGAAGCCACGGGCTTTATGTTTGTCAGTGTCGCCTTGGCAATGATTCATGACATGGATGTGGGCAAAACAAGAAGGGCAAGGCTGACCGCCCCTGCTTGGGAGATGCCTGGTGGGCTGCTGGGAGTCGGCAAAGGGAGAGAATGGGAACAGTTGAGTTTTAGCCTTGCTTGGGTGGACTGCTTCGATGGCAATTGTTGTTGCATCCATTTTGGGGGATAATTGGGTTAGCTCTTCAGAATGGGGTGGTGTGGCTTAGAAGCCTCTTTCAAGCTTAGACAGGTCAGACAGGTCAGACAGGAAAGCCAAGGACGAGCTGAGCCTGAATTCGATGTTGGCCAGTTGTGCCAGTTGTGCGGTGTGGGCCGTGGCGGCGTCCACTTTGTCGACCATGACCATGAATGTGCAGAAGGCTGTGCAGGCCAGCGAGTTCAGCCACAATCTGGTCCTGAGTGTCCTGAGTGCCAGCGACAAATGCTGGCGACCTGCTCTTGCAGGTTTTCATGGGATGCGCGCTCGGCAGCTGCGCCAAAACAGCATCACTTTCAATTCAGCCATCACCTGCTGCGAAAGAGCGGGACATTGGCAGCTAGCGTTGGATATTTTGCAGGATATCAGGCTTGCACCTGGCACAATCACATACAGCGCCGCAATAAGTGCTTGTGAGAAGGGAGCCCAGTGGCAAATGGCTTTGGAATTACTACGGGTGATGCATTCGAGGTCTGTAAGGGCGAATGTGATCAGCTACAATGCGGCAATCAGTGCCTGTGAGAAGTGCAGTGAGTGGCAGCGCAGCATATGTCTTCTTTTCATCATGGGCCAATTGAGTCTTCACCCGAATGAGGTAACCTTCAATGCCGTTATCGGTGCATGCCGCCGAGGAGTCAGTGATGGACATGCGTCCGGTCATTTCCAGTCCAGTCAGCACACTGTTCAGAGCTACCTGGCTGAAGGCTGAAGCCGTAGTACCAGCACAACCCAGAATGACGCAGTTTGAGAAGGGCATTCATCCCATCTCAGCTGCTGAGAATGGATTTGAAATATATATATATATATTTGTGCGTGCGGCATTCATTGATATTTCCACTTCCTTCCCGGATCGTCTCCGTGGCGTCGAAGAAAGGGAGGGGCTTCAAGACGTAGGACGAAAGCGACATGTTGCAGAGATCCCGCACCTTCGAGTCGGAAGGCTGATACATAGAAAGAACTAATGTACATATTTCACTGAGTGGACTCTTGCAGGACATGTAAGCGCCGTGCAGCGGTGCCTGTCCTCGATCGTGATCAGCTTTCCAATGTTGAGGCTAGAAATGAAGACCCTGCCATTCTTGGGACATCTTGTAACATAGTGTGCAGTTGCAGAGCTGAACGGGGAAGATGCAGCTCCCCCCCAGTCCTGAGTTTTTTTGTTAGCCAACGACTGGCTCACAGTTCACCTTGGAGATTCACGTGACAGCGAGCTGTGCACGCTATCTGCACTCACCTGCCTCGCAATCTGCCTGCTTGAACTCCAGTTGGTTTGTGATTGCGTTGTATTTCCCAGCGTGAGTCAACTGTCTTGCTATCTCGGCCGAACTCTTGAGGTGGAAGATCAACTGCCATGAGCCAGCTGCATGCGAGATTTGTTCGGAGTTCGTGACTCATTCAGGGTAAATCTTCCCCTCTCTCCGAATGCGGATTTCTTTATGGCCTTTCGCATCCTCAGAAATCAGAGCGCAAGGAGTTCAAGCGACCCTTCAGCAGTGCCCGTCAGAAAGACCAGACTACTGCGCACCCCGTCAGAGAAACTCCATTCCAGCCGCATTTTTTTTTAAATATTATTCCCGCACCTTGGAATATGCTGGTGTTGCAGGGCCCTTTCTTCAGCGCAAAAAGTGCTTGAGTTTGAGAGTTTGGGCAAGCTCGCACCATGCGAGTGGCTTCTTTTGCATGGGAGAGGTTGCTTATCTAGATTTGCTTGGCGAGGCAGGGTGCGGCTAGCGATGCTCCTGATTCTGGGGGTGTCGCCAGGCCCTTGTTTCGGCGTTTCCTAATCCAGGCTGTTTTCAGCGAAATAATTGTCTAAGTTTTTGTGCTGAAACGCGCCGACATCCAGGTCTGGTGGGCGATGCTGATGGGGGTGTTGCTGGACCCTGTTCTGGTCCAAGATTCAATGAGGTATCGCAGCATCAGGGGGTACTTCTTAGCACAAGTTAACAGGTGAAACTTGCAGCCGCTCTTTCCTGCTTCCGGGAACGACAAACAAAAACATGTCTTACAAGTTTATGCTGGCTCCGGCCCCCGTCTCCGAGCCCGTCCCGAAACTTAGATGGCAGAAAAAGGTTTTATATTTTTTCTGGCTTCGGCCCCTCCGAGCCCGTCCCAGAACTTAAATGACAAACAAGGTCTTATGATTTTGTCCTGGCTTCGGCTGCCCCATCTCACACGAAGTTCTGCATGACAGAGCAGCGCCCCCGAAAAAATCAGCACTTGAGCGCAAAATGACCGGTTGTAATTCATGATTCACGGGTCTCGCTGTTAAATGACCAGTTTCGTGAGCTGTGATCTCTGTTGAATTTCTTGACTCGCTCGCGATTCGTGACCTGTGGTTCGGTTCTCGGAGCCCCGGACAAGCATCTGTGATTCGCAGGCAGGATGTCGCCGGCCGTGTCTGAGATGAGAACCCAAGTCGCGACCCTGTCAGGAAAAGCGGCCAGACGCAGCGGAGCGTGAGCGAAGCAGACAAGAAAGCGTACTGCCCGAGTGTCTCACAACGACCTGGCAAGAAAGAGTGACCTACCTTTAGCGTCTTGTAGCCGAAGACTTTCTTCGAATCAGCCCGAATTCACAAAAGGGTTAGTTAAGGCCTAAGACAAAGGCGGCTGCGCGCCCGGTGAGTTCCAACAATGCCGAGAGAACGAGGTTGAGGGTCCCAAGCATCTTTGTCTTGGGCGCTTGCGCAAGGGTCGTGGCCACGGTCAGCGTGAGGGCTTTCCCGGATGGGAGCGCGCTGGGCTCAAGAGCGAGGCGATGAGACCTGGCGCGCCAGCCAAGTGGCTGGGCACAAGGCGGGGGCTGAAGCTCGTTCGTGTTCAAAATGAAATCCGCGTCTGTCAGGTGATGTTTCGCGCCAGTGACATCCACGGCTAGAAGCTCAAAGGAGTTCCGAGTTACGATGGCCTGTGTGGCATGTGTGGCCTGTTCTATGAGTTATGTGCTAGCGTCGAGGTGCCCCAGCCGGGCCGCGAGGCCCAGCGCTGACTGCGGCAGGCCGGGGCGCGGGCGCAAGCTCGACTTGCGCAGTGGAGGGCGCCTACAACCCGAGTTGGACTCTTCGAAGCTCATGTTTCGGTTGTTTCGTGTAACGCATGGATTTGCATTTTGGGATAGTTATGATAGTTTCGCATATTTCGCATACTTCGCATATTTCGATAGCGAGCTGCCTTGTTTTCTCGTGCGTGTCGCAATCTCGTGTAACTGTGCAGGCAAGGCGGCTGTGGTGCCGCCTCCGCCGTGGCTGGCCCCACAGCCGTTCGGCACGGGTTAGGGATGGTTAGGGTTTAGCGGAGCTCTATGTCTTCGGGCACTCATGTCTTCGCTGTGAGCAACCGCTCGCGTAAACTGAGATACGCGTTCCACGGACATCCGTGTTGCATAAGAGAAAGCTGGGGAATCCCGGAAGCGACGGGGGCGTCCCAAAGGCGACACCCTGCTCTTGCACGTATCAACTGTTACTCCTTGCGCTACTTGATCGCGGAGGTTCAGAGGAGTCCATTTGCGCAGGTCCCTCGCAAGTGGCGCGGCTGTGCAAGAAGCTACACCACCACCATAACATGCAAAATGCCTGCTAGAAGCGCGCGTCGCACGAGCACGCTTGCGCAAGCAAGCTCGCACCAGCCTCATAGAAACATGGCACAGAACTTGCTTGTAATTGAAGCTTGCTCGTGGCGTTGCGATTGGCCGAGCTGAGGGCTGCCAACGCTGGCAAGGCTTGGGGCAAAGGCCTTCACCTCAGCAGACACACTGGCCAACAACAGCTCTGACGGACCAAGGTATGGACATGGGCCCATGTGTAGTGACGCCTCCCTGGCGTCACCCTGAGATGGAACTTCCTTTGCCTGCAGTTTCTCTCGACATGGCTATGCCGCTGCGTTTGCAGGGTCGGAGGCAAGAGTTGGGGCAAAGGCAGCCTGCGAGTCGGACTGAACTTCAGGGGCGTAGAGGGAGCGCAGTGCTGAGATGTGACACTGCCAGGTGATCTGACCAGCGCAGGACAGACCCGACAAACCCGGCAGACTGCTGCGCAACGTGCTCGGAGTGTGGGCGAAGCAGGATATGAATATGGACCTGCGAAAGCTCCGCAGCTTGCCACTGTGTCGGCGCCTTGGAATTTTGGCGAAGGCTAAAAACCCGTCTCCAATCACGCAAGACCCGTCCTGCGCCAGTTTGTGCGCTTACGTGTGTGTGTGTGTGCGGAGTGGCAGAATACCCTGCCACCAAATTTGTTAGCAGGGGGACACAGCACTTCACTGGGACTGTGTCCAACGAAGCTACCAGTGAAGTGGGATATCCAGCTTGGCCAGCTGGACGTACCTGCATCAAGCCCGATGTGCACCAGAGCTGCTTCGGTGATTCTGAAAGTCTATTTGGCCCCCTTGGTTGCGGCGCTGTTTGTGCTTCTTGTTGTTTCGGGTAACGTTTTCGTTTCTAGAGTGTGAAGCCAAGTGACCTGCCAGCCGAAACTTATCCGACTCGAGACTCATCAGTTGCACTCGAGACTCATCAGTTGTACTCGAAAGATTAGACCCTCCATCAGGAGTTTAAGTGTGATCACCCCACTCTTGGGAAACCCTCGGGTGTACCCATCGTGTGACCCCGGGCCGGCTTCGCCGGAAAATTTGACCTCAACGTGCTTATTATAGACCAGCGGAATTTCACGTTTAAGCAGGAACAAGGTCTCACTAAAGGGAAGACAGCCGCCAGTTCATAGCGACGTCTCACGGACCTGCGGGTGCTGATTGCTGCTGTTTTCATTCATTGGCTTGGCATGCTCTTGCGTTGACATGAAATTGAAGCTTGGTTGTCTTAGTATTTCTCAAGGTTGAATTGTGTTCTTACCTGGGTTCGTCATGTCTCGACGCGAAGACCGTGGCAGATCCAGAACACGGCGCAGACGGGATCGGAGTCCATCTTCCCAGCCTCGCAAAGCACGCAGACGTGATCATGATGACACCCAGGTCTCGGATGGCATGGATTGGAACAACTTGGTTTCTTGGCAACACAATTCGGGCTACAACACCTCCAGTGCCTTTCCAATGCCGCAGGGCCACTTCCAACATACTCCCTCCTCCTCGCAACAATTTCAACATCCTCGGGTCAACTACATGATGACGTTCCCTCCGGAGCCCCTGCCGGCGAAGATCGAGAAGCCCATGATTCCACCACCGGTTCCTTCATCCCAAACTACCACATCACATGGACACTCAGCTACATTACCAGTACAACCTCAGAAAGCATGGCTCACTCCACCAGATGATTGGAAACGTGGTGACGGCATGCTTGACATTAACCAGCTCTACTCTTTCAGCTTCCCCATGGCGGTTACCAACACCCCACACAATACTCTGCGTGGTATGTCAGGCATGGACATATGAGATGTTCGCTTGGTTCAGGTCATCCACGGTGGCGAATTGGCTTCTGAGGCCGCTTGCTCACCGATTCGTGACTTGGGAAGGATTTCGCACCCGCGCCGAAGCACTGCTCTGGAGCACCTGTTCAAAGCTACTGCGACGATCGCAGCCGCTCAACCTCCTGACCTTGGAAAAGGACCTCGCCAACTCGCTCGGACTCAACATTGATGACTTCAATCAGCGCATCAAGGTTCATGATGAATAGCCACTCTGGTACTTCATTTTCTTCATCAGCATCATTTGACTCTTCAACCCTCAGTCCAGGAAGGCGACATGATCAAAAAGTACAATGATTTTTTCATCGTGCTCACGAGTTGCTCCAGGCACAGTTCTCGGCGTCGCAGCGAACTGCGCCATCTTCTATGTTGCCCTCTCAGAAAGATGATGCAGAACTGGTTACACCGACCAATCATTCGCAGTCTTCGACGCCAACCAGCTCACTTCCTACGGTAAGTGCGGCGGCCCTTGACGGCAGGTCATTTGATGGTGTGCCTCAACAACAACCTTGGATCATTCAATCCCTTCACGGACTATCGGCCCCACCTGCTAAGACATCCACGCCTCAGCTGCTCACCATGCACAGCGCCCCAGAAGATATCATCAAGCACTGCACCTGGACCAGTGATCAGCCTCGCCTATACCTCAAGCAAGCTCCCACTACGACCACTGTCGCATCGCTGATCAAGTGGGCCAATCACCCGTCCCGCCTCAACGGCAACAAGTCCTTGGAGCCAATGGCGACCCAGCTCTTGCAGTCGCGCCAACGTTTGCCGAAAGGAGATGCGCCTACGTTTGCTGCCATGGCCTCTTTGCGGGGACTGGAGCCCGGCTACACCACTAAGCTTTCGGACAAAGCGCTCTGCCTCCTCATCGTAGCGGCCCGCCTACTCACCGGGCGATGAGCGTCTGCCGTCTAAGTATTAGCCCGGAGTGGCAATCGCGCGGCAGGAGATGTGCGGTTGAAAACTTGTCAGTGCTTGAATTTTGCATGGCTTGCTTTGCTTGCTTGAATGTGTAGTTTGTTTCATGTTGACTTGTGAGTTGCATGTCGCCGCCTCTTCGTCGTTCTTCGAGGTCCTTCACTTCTACAAGACGTCATTGCTGTGTGAAGTCATGCGCTCCACCTTCGCGGATATGAAGCACCTTCGATCCGTACGGACACGCTTCCCGGGCCTGTGTGATTTTATTCAGGACCCGGGCCACCATCAACAACCGTGCGTTTACATCAGACTCTCACCATGGCACAGTCCATACTACATTGGTGCTACGGAACAAGATGTTCTTCGCAGAGAGCACTCACGCAGCCGCAAATATCCACAGCTTCTGCGGGGACAGCATGCCTTCTTTGAACCTGCCCTTCACTACTGGAAGCGGTCCAACAACTACTGGCTCTACTGTGCCATTCTAGTAGAGATCAAACTTCCCCTTTCCTCAGTTTGGGTCCAGGAAAGCAAATGGTAGTACTTACTTCGTCCACCTCTGAATGCTCCTGGGTGCACAGACTTCTTCGGAAAATTGGTTTCCGTGAACATCTGGTTGACTTTCGTCGTCGTTCTTTGTCCTCACCTACGTCATTATCTCTCCATAAGCGATTTCGGCGCCGACTTCATCCCGATCTTCATCGACAGCTACGACCGGAGATGTTGGATGACATTCAAGCACATTATTCTACTCTTTATCAGCTGGGATCCAACACGGGAGCATCGATTCAAACTATGCGCGATTTGCTATCGGCGGCTTTCCCGTCTACCCAGATTTACTACTTCCTGCGGCTGTCCGCCTTCGTCAACGAGCCTTTTCGCTCCAAGGCGCAGAAGCTCCTCGCCCAAGTCATGCGCAAACGCCAACTACAGGTACCCACTACCATGACACGACTACTTCTTCCGCCTCTGCACGTGCCAAATTGGAAGGCTCAGCTTGGAACATGGTTGCAACGTTGCGTCGCATCACATCGTGACCTTTTCCCTTCCTTATTTCTTCCCAAGATCCGAGTTGTGGAAACTCGCAGTGCTACCTTGGGAGACCGGATCTACAACTACCGCAAGTGGCAACGCAGATGGACTCCTGATACGTCGTTTCCGTGCTGCTGCATAGACATGGACGACAAAAGCATTTACCGCGCTCACAGTCATGCAGTGATTTTGGATGAGTTCTCACGCGTCAATGCTGACATTGATCCTGACATTATGCCGGCATCCATGAAGGATCAGTACTTTGGTGATATTGACAAGCTTCAGCAGCGGTTTGACATGCAACTTCGCAAACTGTCTCGTTGTTGGCATGTGCAAAGATCCAGTTTTTCCACTGATTTTTGCTGTCGCAGTTGATTGATGAGCATCGCTTTAATGTTCATGACCGTGCTCGCTGGACTTCGTCTTCAGTACAACGTACCACTTGCTCCCTGTCCTCGTGGGTTGTCATCTGTGCGGATCATTTCCCGTCACGTGTTCATGTGATTTGTCCATCGTTGTTTGCTATTCTGATGCACAAGACCTTTTGCACAGGTGAAGTCTTTGCACTATGCCGTGAATCTGCAGCATCTTTTCGCTCCGAAGTTGTGACTATGACACCAGCTCGCCTACTACAACGGTATGCTTGGGGACTTCGACTTCAGGCACCGTTACCTACTGCTCGCATCCTCCCCAAACCCACCAAAGACTGGCTGAAAGCGAGGCCCATTATTTCTTTCTTCCGTACGTGGGCAGCACCCCTCCTCACGGTCTTCGGCGCCCTCATCTTTGAGCTTACCAAAGTCACCTTTCCGGACGTCCCTGGTCAGCTTTCGGTTCAGGAACTAGTGCAGCAACTTTGGGATGCACTATCGCGGGAAGATCCGACTGAATACATTCATCTAGTATCTCAGGACCTTTCCGGTTTCTTTACATCCATTCCTACTGAACGTTTTCATCAAGCGCTGCAGGTCTTGCTACATCGCTATGATCAAGTAGTTGGTCTACGCAACTCTTCACAGTGGTCGGTCTATGAGGTGAAGTCGGATCACCGGCGTCGCATGTTCAAAGGCAAGTGGCGCCGTCAAACTAAGATTCCTCGCACTTTTCGTGAGGAGGACCTTCAATGCCTTCTTGACTTTATCATTGAAAACAGCCATTTCGAGATCAACGGCTACTTGTTCCCCCCCCTCTCTGCAACCTCGTCGCTACTGTTGAAGACTTTTTCTGGCACCAAACCATCAACTCTCTCAGATTTCAGATGTCTGGCTTCGGTGTGATCTGGCATGAGCGCTATGTGGACAATCGTTTCATTCTTCTGCGTGACTCAGCACCGATCACTGCAGTGCTCAAGAGTTTTCTTTCCCTGGAGTTTTATCGCCCCCCTGTGATGCTTGAGACCCAGAATGACAACAAAGTGCTCGGACACATGTGTGACTCATCGTCCAGGACTATCACGCCGCAACTACCTGAACATCCCTCTCAGATCAAAGGTGTCCGCAGTGCCAATGATCGGATGTTCACTTACTCTTCGTGGTCATCACGATCGTGGCTCATAGTACGTGGAGCTCAGCCGGCAGTTCAACAACAACTGGGACTTGATGCTCTCAAACGCCTTTATGAAGCCAAAGGCTTCGATCCGCATCTTCTTCGTGACGTTCGGCGACGAGGTGAGTCAAAAGGTTGCATAATTGTCTTGGTTTGTTGCTCTTGTTGACTTTGGTGTGTGCTTGAAC